CAGTTGTTTGAGTAATGCTTAGCGTTGAATGGCGTTTCAGTATGCGAAAATTCATTTAAGTGGCGTTTGAGAGCAACTTAATTTGAGAGGTGCTTAAAAATTGAGAACTGCTCAGATATTGTTTTGAGTATGCGAAATGTAAGTTTAGGAGCTGCTTAACTATTTGAGAAGCCGTCAAATATTTAAATGGCGTTTCAGTATTCGGCCGTAAATGCCCCAGATACACCGCCATAGCTCAAAACACGCCCGAGAAACTAGTGCTTCAACGCCGCTTATAAACACTCTTGCTAACAATCACGCGAGAATCGTCGTGAAATGCACCGTTAAAAAAGTAAAAAAAAAAACTAACCGCTCTAAAAAGAGACCGCATGCAAAATAAGATTCAGAAAAAAGCTAAGTACAACATGTTACGTAATAATATTTAAATCTATTGAAGAATCAGAAATAAAATCATAAAAACAGGACATTTGACTGTGAAGTAAACTACTGTACAAGAACGAAGTGGAAAGGAAAAATATTCAAAATCAAAAATATTTATTCAGTTTAGACCACAAGTGGCACTTATGAACAAAAATCAAATCAAATCAAAATCTTTTGGGCTATTATGGCTCCTTATCTTATGGCTATTCATTCTCACCTTCAAATAGCTTGCTCTTCAACTTGCTGCAGTACTTCTCAGCCATTTCCTTATTCTGAACGTTTGCTTTACAAGGATGTTCGGGTTCCTTAGTGCTCAAGTCTTCGCAGAACTCCCTGGTCTTCCATTTGTTCGCGAACGCGAGGGTAGACTGTTCTACGTCGCCTTCGGGAGTCAAGAAGTCGTCGCTTTGTTTCAAGTTGAAGGTTCCACATAAACCCTATGGACAAGGAATTAACAAAATTAATGTTACAGACAAATGTAACATCCGGCTCGAAGGACCAAAGGTAGGGTGCTTTTCTTGACATATATTTAGATGTAGAATGAAAAATCTTGGCATTATCTTACTTTGGTCTTGCTCTGGAATGATGGCGGTACGTCGACAAACACTCTGGTGTTGCCATCCCACCAGATATCCACTTTCAGAGGCAGTTGCACTGGAAACAAACGCGTATTATTTAGTATAGATTAGGATATAGGATTCTAATGGGGAAACAATTGTTCAAATCGGTCCAGAAGTTAAGGAGTATATTCAATACAAATAAACAATCAAATCTTTCTTTATAATATTAGTGTAGACTATAATATACAAAAAAAGTTACCGATGACAAACAAAGAAGAAGCGGCTCGAATCCTGATCTGTCCCACGTTGACGGGAAGCGCAGACACCTCTTTCCCATTAACAAGAATCAGTCCTCCTTGCTTCAGGTGGATGTCGGCGCCGTCGTACTTGAGGTTCACGGCTTTCGTGCAGGACGGCCTGCCCTCGCCCTTGTATGGTGTTAGGTTCATTTCCTAGGTAATATTGATAGACATTAGAATTTTATTTTGGTTAAATGAAGAAGTTTAAAGATTGAGTGTTTAGAAGACTTGAAAATTTCATTTCAGGAGCAATATTATTGAAAATCTTATTCAAAAAGCTTCATTGGAGGCTAAAGTGTGGTAGGAAACTGTAGTGGGATAAACCAACAGCTGAGTTTATTTATGACCTAGACTGAAACTCATGTTCACAAATCTGAGTTCCGAGATCACAATAAGTATTAACCAAATAGACAAGTTAAAGAATCGGCGTATAAGCACCAACCAAAAAACCTTTAAATAAATGAGACTAAGAGAGGGGATGGTAAAATATCCAATGAATAATTAAGTTACCTCAGTAATAGCTCCAGAACACGCCACGTTTTCCACCTCAACTGTGATATTGTTAGTCTGCAGTAAGGTATACGTGCAATGTCCCATGAAGTCGTATCTTTGCCCGTCGAAGGTCGTGTAGTGAGGATCGCCCACGGCACTGCAGCGAGCGCCACAAGGCACCTGAGTGCACTTCCACTCGCCTGCTTGACATGTGCTGGTAAAGGAAGGCTACTTTTAGGGTGAGGGTAGTCGAAGAACTATGTAACTAAATGGCTATAGAATTAGAAGTTTGTTTTCTGACATTTATGAACTGTATGCGTGTCTCATTTATACGTTTGATGCGTCAATTTTTTTTATGCAGAACAAGAACCGCAATCGCACCTGATATTAATTGAGATGCAATCTAGGGTGGTACACTGGTATATGCCTATTCACTCTCGCCTTGAAAGGCCGGGATTATAGTGTTCGGAAAAGACAGCAGCAGGCAAATACAGTCCAATAGACCTTTCTTTTATTTTTTCGAGAGCATTGACTATTTCTCTTTGTTCAGCCATCAGTGTACAAAAGGCGATACCACAGATAAGATACACAGCTAATAACTTTGACATTTTATGTAGTTTTTATGTTTAGTCTGACGTTCTGTTGTTTCATATTAAAGATATGGAATCTGGACGTCAATGTAACCTACATTATTACAAAGGAAAACAAAAAGTACACACTAGAGGGTTGCCAAAACTCACCAACTGTTGCACTCCTTAGGTATAACAGATCCGGGCTTGAAGCTCCTGTTCCTTAGTCTGCACGGACAGTCGTCCTTCTGGACGCACTTGCCTCCTTCCAGCAGTAGGCCTTCGGGACAGAAGCAGCCCTCGATGCAGGTGGCGTTGTCGGCCTTTGAGGCCACTTGCGGAAAGGAGCAGCTGGGCTGGGAGTCTGGTCCGCAGACCTTGTAGATCTTACCGTCCGGACAGGTTTTGGCTGAGGAAAAAGGATAAAAATAAAGGTGAAGGACTGCATTTACGTGGACGATGTGATTTTGATAATAAGTGAAAATTCGTTTTAGACGACGTCATTAGGCGGTTATCACACTGCGCCGCGCTCCGCCGCGGTACGCGGGACGACAGATTTAATCATTGTATGCAAGTACCTCAGTTTGTATAGAAAACACGCGCGGCACAACACACTGACAACGCGTCTGCGCGCGGGATTTTTTATATGAAATCACGCGGAGCGCGGCGCAGTGTGATAACCGCCTTAATGTAACAGATTTTTGGGAGTTATTGAATGTCTTCATAAAAGTATGTCAAGGCAGTAAGTATACACCGAACTTTTCGTGCACACAGATGGAAGATCAATCAATGATCGAGACGATCAGCAATGAGGACAAAAGAAAAAATGTAATGATAGATGGAAGGGGAATAGATTTCTAATAATGATGATAACTTACGTGTCGTTTCCTTGCATTTTTTTTAATTTATTCGTTATTATTTTACTATTCGTTTCATAGATTGGATACGTTAATTCAAAAGTATTCGTGACTTACGGCAAGTGTCGGGATCTCTCCAGAACTTCATTTCTTCCACTCCATGTCGTAGGCACTCCTTAGCAAACACAGAAACCGTGCTGCAAGCGCACTCCTCGGGATCTGAAAACAGGGAATATTGAACCAAAACAATCAATCGATGTGTCATTTAAATTGCATAACTTTGTTTTATCTGATCGAACAGCCTTACCTTGACTATCTTTACAAGCGCAGTAGTCTTCTTGGCAAGCTTCTAGCAACAGGGTCACATCCATAACCTGATAAAAGAATCACATGAGAGTTCAGTTACTTTTTGGTGATCTTTGTATATTGTTATTTGTAAAAAAAAGACATTTAGGTAACTTTATTTCCATTGCCCAGTACCCATAGTATGTAAAATTCCTGCTTATTTTGGAACTAGATGGCGCAATGTAAAATACGTCGAAGGAATTATTTGACTGGCTGACATGCATATTCCTCAGTGATGGCACTTATGTACACTGTTCTATGTGCATATAAGTTTGAAATAATAATAATAATGTCAGTAACGTACAGTCAGCGTTAAATAGTTCGTGACACTCAAAGTAGCCAAAAAGTTATTCAACCTTATTCCAATTGTAACAAAGATGTGTTAAGAACTTTTTAGCAACTTTGGGTGTCACGACACGAACTAAGTATGTATTTGACGCTGCTTGTACTGTACATATTTGTTGCTAAATAGCACCTGTTACAACGACAAAGGATACTAGTGTTTGCTTGATTGTCTGCGGGGCTACTCCGAAAAAACATTATCCAAAGTTTCGATTGTTGCCATCCCTCTCATACAAGGCGAGATGCCAGCATGAGCGACGGTAACAGATAGACCCGAAACTACGTAAACAGCGTCTCGGAGTAGCCCCCCTGTACCTTCGAGCACTTGCGGAACTTGTCCTTGCTGAATATCCTGGCGCAGAACAGCTGGGCCTTCTTCTTGGCGTCGTCGGGCTGCGCCGCGCAGTGCGCCGCGTCGGACGGGCTGCCTTCGCAGATGTCTGAGCGAGTTCAACAATATTTTTACTTAACACGTTAGCTGCCACCCCGGTGACCGAACCCCTACCTACATTACCTACATTTGACCGGGGTGGCAGCTAACGTGTTAAACAAACCTTTCTCAAATCAAACTAGTCTATAGCCGTGACGTAAACGAGCAAAAACTACAAAAGTGATGACCTAGGTACGCTACTAAAAATAGTCACTATCTACGTCAGCACTAGAAGAATTTGAAAACATCATGGTACATCAAAGTATTAAATTTTTGTCTTATTAACACATAACTAATTCAATAGGCTAGTTTCCTAAAAAAAATTTTTTAGTCCGTCAAAGGACAGTGCCAATCCATGTATGGAAGTTGGACCAAGTGCTGCCCAGAATGAAACTATAGTGCATTTTGTTCCTCAGGCCAATACTAATTTGTAAACCGAAGCGCACTGAAATCTATCCCTGGAGTTAAGAGAAAAAAAGAGTTTTGTTTTGAATTATTTGCATACAAAATATCATCGATGTATACCTACTATGGATAAGACTTCGTGATTTTGGCATTAAATAACACTCGCTATGTTAAACTTAACCATACTGCATCCGTACACCTTACTTTAGTACGACTTCGACATTATTTATAAGCGATCGAGCGCTGTTTCAGTAGTTTAGTTAGTTGACCGAAATTAATTATTTCCAAAATGGAGCAAGAAGTTTTAGCTTACAATAACTTCAATAATCAATTTTAATACACCAATAAATTGATTTTTCGCAAGGATAGAGAACTAAAACTTCTTGCTTCATTTTGGAAATAATGATTTCTGTCAACTAACTAAAATATTGCAACAGCGTTAGATCGCTTATAAAGAATGTCTAAGTCGCACTAAAGTAAGGTGTACGGATGCAGTATGGTTAATACCCGGGTGCACAGACAGGGTGTAGGCCTTCTCCTCAAGGTAGAAAGTGATTTCTAAATAACATGAGCAGTTCCTACTGAAAAATGAACCTTATCTCCAACCAACTGGGTTATTTTTGCTTACCCGGGTGCACAGATAGGGTGTACGCCTTCTCCTCCAAGTAGATGGTGATCTCTGAGGAACAAGAGTAGTTCCTACTGAAATATGAACCTAATTACCAACCAACTGGGTTAATTTTGCTTATTCGGGTGCACAGACAGGGTGTAAGCCTTCTCCTCCAAGTAGATGGTGATCTCTGAGGAATATGAGCAGTTCCTATTGAAAAATGAACCTTATTACCAACCAACTGGGTTAATTTTGCTTACCCGGGTGCACAGATAGGGTGTACGCCTTCTCCTCCAAGTAGATGGTGATCTCTGAGGAACAAGAGTAGTTCCTACTGAAATATGAACCTTATCTCCAACCAACTGGGTTAATTTCTGCTTACCCGGGTGCACAGACAGGGTTTAGGCCTTCTCCTCCAAGTAGATGGTGATCTCTAAATAACATGAGCAGTTCCTATTGAAATATGAACCTTATGTTCAACCAACTAGGTTACTTTTGCATACCCAGGTGCACAGACAGGGTGTAGGCCTTCTCCTCCAAGTAGATGGTGATATCTGAGGAACATAAGCAGTTCCAACTTAAATATAAACCCTATTTCCAATCAACTGGGTTGTTTTTGCTTACCCGGGTGCACAGACAGGGTGTGTAGGCCTTCTCCTCCAAGTAGATGGTGATCTCTGAGGAACATGAGCAGTTCCTATTGAAATATGAACCTTATCTTCAACCAACTGGGTTGTTTTTGCTTACCCGTGTACACAGACAGGGGTAGGCCATCTCCTCAAGGTAGAAGGTGCATTTCTAAATAACATTAGGAGTTCCTATTGAAATATGAACCTTATCTTCAACCAACTGGGTTACTTTTGCCTACCCGGGTGCACAGACAGGGTGTGGGCCTTCTCCTCAAGATAGAAAGTGATTTCTAAATAACATGAGCAGTTCCTACTGAAAAATTAACCTTATCTCCAACTCCAACCAACTAGGCTGTTTTTGCTTACCCGGATGCACAGACAGGGTGTAGGTCTTCTCCTCAAGGTAGGTGATTTCTAAATAACATGAGCAGTTCCTACTGAAAAAGGATAGGATATAAAACCTTATCTCCAACCAACTGGGTTGTTTTTGCTTACCCGGGTGCACAGACAGGGTGTAGGCCTTATCCTCCAAGTAGATGGTGATCTCTGAGGAACATGAGCAGTTCCTACTGAAATATGAACCTTATCTCCAACCAACTGGGTTAATTTTGCTTACCCGGGTGCACAGACAAGATATAGGCCTTCTCCTCAAGGTAGAAGGTGCATTTTTAAATAACATGAGCAGTTCCTATTGAAATATGAACCTTATGTTCAACTAACTAGGTTACTTTTGCATACCCAGGTGCACAGACAGGGTGTAGGCCTTCTCCTAAAGGTAGAAGGTGATTTCTAAATAACATGAGCAGTTCCTATTAAAATATGAACTTTATCTCCAACCAACTGGGTTAATTTTGCTTACCCGGGTGCACAGACAATGTGTAGGCCTTCTCCTCCAAGTAGATAGTGATCTCTAAATAACATGAGCAGTTCCTATTGAAATATGAACCTTATCTCCAACCAACTGGGTTAATTTTGCTTACCCGGGTGCACAGACAGGGTGCAGATGTAGGCCTTCTCTTCCAAGTAGATGGTGAAGCAGTTCCTATTGAAATATAAACCTTATCTCCAACCAACTGGGTTACTTTCGCTTACCCGGATGCACAGACAGGGTATAGGCCTTCTCCTCCAAGTAGATGGTGATCTCGGAGGGGCAGTAAGCGCGCGCGCACGCGCCGGGCCGCACCGCCACCGTGTACTTGTGTTCAAGCGTGTCGCGGACCAGGATGTGCTGGCATTGCGATTTGAAGCTACGAGGAAGGTGTTAGGGGTGGTTTTTAATGAGGGCTATCGTTTTTATACTCAACAGTTGGCACCCCTGGCGATTGACAGAACCTTACTCTACAGTGGCGCCATCTTGATGAGTGCAAATGCGATAGTCCTCCTACCACTTTCGCGCTCCACAGTTGGCGCCACTGTCCTCGCTACTAGCAAGTGACAGGACCTTACTCTACAGTGGCGCCAACTGGTGAGCGCTAAAACGATAGCCCTCATTGTAAATAGTGTGCATATTATTTTCTCATCAATGAGGGTTTTCGCTAACGAAAAATCCGCCAGATGGCAATACGTAGACGCAAGGTCCAAAAGCTGCATGATTGGTTATTTTGGACATGACATTGACAGATATGTCAAAATCCACCAATCACGCAGCAGTCAGACCCCACATCCACGTCCCGCCATCTAGCGGATCTTTCATTCGCGAAAACCCTCATTGATGTGTTTCAGATTATCTTTCAGGGGGCGTTACATCTAACGTATTCGGTATCGAGTGCGTCAAAAAATCTATGAATGAAGATTTTAGTTCTTGAAAGTATCCGCTAGGGGCGCTGTACAATCCGTCATACATTTAATGTAATTTTTTTACAAATAAAAATATTTTATTTATGCAAACACACCGTTTACGCATACACTTTCAAATACAATTGGTAACAACTCGATATCGAATACGTTTAAACTCACACTAAGCCCCCAGATAACGTTTTTACAACGCGTCGAAAAAAACGCTTACCTTAGAGCATAAATACGAAAATTTGTGAGAGGATAAAGAATTATTACTTCCAATCAAAAATTTACGGGTTGTTTACTTGCATAAAACGTGTATAAATTGAACAGATCAGCATTATATTTTAAAGATAGAAATATATTTTTATTATTTAAAACCTACCTATAAATCTTCCCATCAAACGTCTTATAATGCTCGCCGGCCCAGGTCAAGCAAGTGCCTCCTTTAGGCGTCAAGTCCTGCACCACCATTTGCGTAGAATGTCCACCAGAGCCGTACGAGCCACCTCCCGACCCGTGCGACCCTTGGCCGAAGGTCGCAGACCCATGGTGCGACCCGTAGGACCCTTCCGACCCACCGCTAGCACCGCCGTGGGTGTGGCTTGAGGATGACCAACTGTGGCTTTCGTAGTGGCTCTATAAGATAAATTGAGACTTTAATACGCCATTCTTACCTGAAGACTCGCATCCTTGACTGTATCTCACTTTTGTGATGAAACATAAAAAAAAAGTTGAGTTGAATTTTTCACTAATCTTTAATTTTCCATGGCTCAATCTTAGCTTTCCGAGATCTACATTTTTTATTTAAGAATAAAATTGCCAATACTTACGCTGTAGTTTGTAGGAGTAACGACAAAGACGTCATCTGAAACAATAAAATAATACTCATTTAGATAAAGTATTGAACGCGTACCAAATACATAATACAACAAGATATTAAAAATAAAATTTCGATGAAATTCTTAGTGCCAGGAAGAAAATTTATTTTCATCAATTGCTTGTGGCCTAAAAATTAATCAAAGTAAAACTTACTGAAAACACAATGCGTTATCAATTGGTAAGTGTACAGTTCCGCTCGTGACGATCTATAGGTAGAGCCGGAGAGACATTTCAGCTTTCACAAGAACTTCAGACAGTCGCCGAAGCAACTGTACCCGCCGAAACGAATCAAAGAAAGACAAACTTACTGAAGACACAGTGCGGTATCGGCTGCGGCTGGTACACCCCGGTCGAGTACAGGCAAGTGTACAGCTCCGCTCGCGGTGAACTGTACGTAGATCCAGAAGGACAGTTCAGCTTGCACGAGAACTTCTAACAGT